CTGTTGATTCTGGGCCGATCCGGTTATTTATATTCACAGTACACACGGTGAACTCCCACTCCCCGGCAAGCCAGGTGGTACAGAGCTTTCCTTGGCTTCCCAGGTCACTGCTGGCAGGCCACCCCACTGCTCTGTTTTACTCTAACGATGAGAATTATGTTTCCATAATGCCCAAGAATAAATCAAAAGGTCAAATAATACAGCCAGTATCAGTCATTTCTCAGCTTTCAGGTTAAGGAAGCCAATTAGATCAACCAACCTCATCTCCCGTTCCCCGTAATGCACCCAGTTCCTCCCTGATTACGTTGCAGTGACTGATTCTTGCCAGGCTGAGCTGGCTTTATTCTCCAGAAACTGAACTTTTGGGTACTATGGGCAAAGAAGATGGGCTGAAGTGCCAGCAGTGCCAGAGCGCTGCACCGGCAAGGACGTCGCTGCACGAGCTATGGCTGGGGGACCGGATCCGGCCCCCTGCGCCACATCTTGCAGAAGGCAGCAAAAAGTCCCTTCCGATCTGATTTGGGAAAAACCTTTGTTCTGATCCCATATTTTATATGGGATTGACCCAGGTCATGGGTCAATATAGCAGCTGGGGGGTCAGAAACGATACCCAAAAGCTTCTCTGCTTTGCCAGCACGTTAGCATCTCCAGAAGACATCACCACCCCGGGGGAACAGGCTTCTGTACACAACCACGGGGCCCTGCCGGGCCCCATCTCCAGCTGCAACCAGCCTCGGATGCCTCCAGAAAAAACAAAACGGGAAAACAAACTCATAAACCAAACCCAGCAAATACCCACTGATTGTGCCCTGGGGGGAAAAAGTCCTCCCTGACCCTCACAGGCTGCTGGCTGGAGCCCAAAATATCACAATTGATCGTAGTAACTGTCAAGCCAGATGATCATAATAGTCTCTTCTGACCTCAGAAATCTATTAAATATATTAGATAACAGCTGTTTCCATGCCAGGTGATGTCCAGACAACATCACTGCCCCAGGTCATTTGGATGGCGAAGCAAATCGCCTAAGGTCACCGTCCCTGCTGGAAGCCGCGCTTGGATGCTCGGCCGCCTGAAGGCAGAGAAAACCATTTTCTCTTCCTCAGTTGGCACCGATGTTGTCTCAGAGCCCCAAGAAGTCTCCAAAACAGGTGTTTTGATCAGTGCTGTGTGCTTAAATATATAGTCATCCCTATATTCTGTATCAGGATATCTTCTACATCATTTACATGGTAGACTAAAACAAAGCTTGGGATCAATTAGAGTACCTGAAAAATATTCTTACTGGTGGAGTATATTAGTCTGTTCAGGCTACATAGAAGGTGGGGGCAGTGTTGTTAATCAAGCGCTTAAAATAGGCTCAGCACTGTACAAACATGCAGGGCTGAGCTAAAACTCCACCTGAGCCATTCTTACCAAAATGGGGTTTGGCTCAGCACAGCCTGCAAGGAAGAGTCTCAGAAAAGTGGCTCCAACACAACCTGGTGGATTTTGGCTGAAAAATCAAAACCTAGGGTTTTTTTAACATGTACCACCACCTGTTTAAGCCAGAATTGTTCTGGAGATTGGCTGAAACATCATGGAAAAAGATATCTGTCTGTCCTCCTGACCCCCCCACACCCAGGCAGGCTACGTTAAGTGATGTGACTGTGGTTCTTTCACTTAAAAACCAAGCAAATGCCCAGGCTGTGCATCTCCAGGACATCAGCGGGCCCAGCGACAAAAAAACCTGCTTCTTTTCCTATCATGCCGAGGGTGAGAAAAGGAGAGAGAGGCATCCCGCTGTCCCTGCAGAGAGATGCTGCTGCCCGCACCCGCTGCCAGCCCGCGCGGCAGGGATGCAGGCAGTCGTCACCCCGCGCTGGAGCAGCCTCCCATAGTCACCAGTAGTGCTGCTGCTTTCCTTTCTGGGCAACAGTTCACTTCAAGTCATCTTTCTTATTCACCATTTTACGAGTGCTTGCAGGGATGCACGTGTGTTTGCATGGCTACCTGGCAAAGAGCATTTTTTTTTCCATGGAAATACCTGCATTCAAACATGCTTATCGCTTGCTACGCCTTAATAAACCCTATGAAACCTTTACCTGTCCGATACAGGAAAGGAAGCAATCCCAGGTGACAGAAATCATACCTACGACGAATAATCAACCTTAATAATCCACACACTTCATCAACGGATATTAATTTGTATATAAATAGATATTCAGGCAAAAAAAAATTAAGGATCTGCTGTTTATAAAAAAATCAACCCGCTGTGGAGACACACGCGCTCACAAAAAACAGGCCCGATTTTTCAACAGGTCCAAATGAGATGATGAGATGAAATGGTGCCAGCTGACTTACACATTGTAAACATTTTACCTCTGTTTTTCCACTTGAAATCAATTGCAGGCTCCGATGTTACATAATTTCTTTGCTTTTTATTTCTTTCCTTGCTTGGCTCTTTCAATACAGTTTTGGTGCTACAGCCTTGCAGAAGAAAACCTGCAAGCTGAAGAATATGAAGCTATTTCAGCTCTTTCTTTGCTACAAGAAACCATCTGCCTCCCAGGCATAATCCCAGTCTACACTTGGTAGGAAACCAGTCTGGTTGCTGGCCGTGTAACTGGATCCACACGGAGAGGTGTTTGGCCAAGTGGTTTTCATGTTTATACCAACAGCCAGCCAGAATTATGCTTCTCTTTCCAGCGGAGCGGGTCTGGCTTTCGACCAGGGTATTTTTAATCAGGTCACTCATTAGCATTTCCTCGGGTACCTGCTACCTGCAGCTTTGGTCTCAAAAACGCAGAAGCCACGCTGAGTTTAAAGTCTTTCCCAAATGCTCCAAAGAGCTCACCCCTCCTCATACCCACACAAGATCTCTGAGAAGGCAAAACCTCCCTGAAATTCTGCCTCTTTTCTGAAAGAAGTGGGTAGGAACGGTTTTCTCACCCTACAGGCTTCACAGCTCCTTTAAGTTCACGCAGTCCCTGAACCTTCGCTGCCGAAAAGGTGTTGGAAAAGTCTGTAACCCGCATCCCTCCTCTGCTTTGCCCATAGGTACCGGGTAGCATCATTCAACCCCCAAATTTTCAGACGTGCTCCTTTGTGTTTCCTCCAACACCGACTCCAAACGACTCCCTGGGTCCTCTGCACCCCTCTTCTGGGACGCCCTGAAGGGGGGTGATGCTCAGAGCGTCGCGTGCTGGGGGCATCGCCTCTCGCCCCAGCGGGCTCCCATTGCCCCCCAGAGCTCCGCGTATCCACATGGACAGAAACACTCACACAAACACAAAACAGCACCAACGGCTTCATCCTGTTCTCCTCTCTGGCTGAGCAGGATAAAGGCTCATTAGTGGGAAAGATATACATACATATACAATACACGTATATCTTCACCATCTAGGCTGCCTTGGTGTCTGCTAGCGATCCCACGCTGGCTGGCATACCCACGCTCATGCCCTCGACCCGTGGTCCCGCTGCAGTCCTGGCACTCAGACCCTCGTACACACAGAAGAGAGTCCCTCACCCAGGAAATAATTCGAAGTGGGTTTTAATGAGCGCACAGGACAGACCGAACTGCTCACGTGCAGGGCACAGCCAAGGGTGCCGACCAGCAACCTGTTACACACAACCAGCCCTTTTCAGCCTATTTTCCCACCCTTGTTCCCCTGCAAAACACCTTGATCCCTGCCTTTGCTTCCTCCTCTAAACATCCCACAATAAGTCTTGCGCAATCCTAAAATGCTCTTCCCTCATGTGTCCCGTAGCCCTAGGCAGTGACCTCCCCCAGTCCAAAAGATGCTCCGGAGAGCAGCTCCGTGGAGGCATCATTCGGGCTCCCCCGCCTGCCACCCCTCCTCTGCGCGTGCAGGGGAGGCTCCTATGGCACAGCCCAGGAGCAACCCCCCGCCGGGGTCCGGCTGCTGGGTGCGACAGTCACACCAAGAAGGAATTGCATTTTCATCCCGGGTCTCCACGCCACGACGGCAGGATCGGAATGAGGTGACACCGGCTTTGTAGTCCTTCCAAGCCTTTGATGAGGATGCGATCAGTGTTGGGCTGCTCGAAGCACACCTGGCAGCCCCGAGATGTTAGCTTCCCCTTCCTTTCCTACGCCGCAGAAATGTTTGCAGCCTCCGGCCATCTCCTCCTCCTGCTAGTGAGATCTTGCTCTTGGCAGCCGGTGGGACCGGGGCTTTCTAACCCGAGTGTCCTCCTGCTGCCGCCTGCCCTATGTGCGTGCTGCAGCGCTACCGAGAAAACGACCACCGGACTAGAGGAACGAAGGGGAAAAAATGAAGAAATCTGAAAAAAGCATCGAGAATTTGGGAGAAGGGAGCAGGGAACTGTTTGTGAAGAGCAGCCAGAGACGGCACGTCGGGGCAGGAGGTAAGAAAGTTAATAAATCCAGTCGAAAAGCAAAGTTCAGCTACACAGACACGGGATGGATTTTTATGCTCTACAGAAATTGGAGAAGAAACCTCTTTTCCCCCAGGAGTCACTTCTCATGGCTAGGAGCCCTCGGGCACCCTGAGCACTGGTTTCAGGGAGGCAGGTACAAGGTTAATGCTGAAAACAGCAAAATTGTTAGCAGGGCAAATAACATACCTCAGTAAGGAGATGAACAACATCTGGGCAGATGTCACCGAGGTTAACCTTCATCTTTGGGAAAGCAAAATCCTGACTTAGGGGCTGGCACTAATGGATTTAGATCCAAGAGATTTTCTTAAGTAAAAGCTTCTGGATGGGAATTAGTTTGATGCTTGAAAAATTGGTGGGTCTTAATAATGGAGGTGAAGGAAATGTTGCAGTGAGAGATCAAAGGGTACTTTGATTCCACTTCTACCTGGTGACTTAGGATGGACAGAAAGAAAATCACTATTCAGTAAATGGAAAGCAAACCATTTTGACACACCCTGACAGCCCAGCTCTAACATTTGGTATGCAATCTGGAAACAACACAAGAAAAATACTGTCTACAAGTCACCACGATATCCAGAGACATTTCCAGAGAACTGGAAATGCGGCCACCCCGAAGCCTTCAGCCAGTGCAAAAAGCTCTAGGCAACACTAGTGCAGAGACTTGGGCGAAATACATGACGGGCAGAGCGCAGAGGAGGGAAGGAGAGCAAGGTAATGGTCTGGAGAACATCCACTGCTGCGCAACCAACGCTCAGCCTAATAATAGCCTTTGCTTATTCTTCGTGTGCTCCTCATTTGTTTCCCAACCAACAGCGATGGGCAGAACTGGATGAAATCATGGGAACTTTGACAGAGTTCATCGGAAAAAAAGGAGCTTTCAGGCCATCAAATCCAATCGCAGAACTTCACCCAGTTACCACGGCTGTAACCTAGTAACTCATGTATAAATATCTTATAGAGATCCGTTATTCTTCATTTCAGGTCATCGAAAGCTGAAGACTCTACTGCTCCCCTTTAGTCTCATATTTAATCCTCTTGTCAATGCTTTTGCAAATGCTGCCAAAATAAATTTTCATTTATTGATCAGCTTTAGAGGGCTTCAAAAGCTACGGCCAAATAGTAGCGCTTGTCTGCAGAAGACAACGTGACTGCCATTTACTCCACTTAAGAACAAGTCTTTAAAGTCACAAAGAAATACTATATGTAATGTACAGTTATGGTCCAGTTTCACTTCTTCCAACACAAAACAAGAGTTTCCTGCCAAGGAGGGGACACGCCGCTGGCTCAGAAGGAGGATGGGGAGAGGAGGGAGCAGGGGGAACGGCTGAACAGGTTCCTCTGGCTACCACCAAACCAGGGCACCCAGAAACACTCTCCAGCTCCTCGGTTTGGGCGAACGCCCCGGCTGCCTTGTGATGTTATTTCAGAGCAAGACCTACGAATGCATCAACTAGATCTTTTTCCCTGCCCACTCCCCGCAGCGCTCCCCTTCCCACGGGAAGAAAACCCGGGGGAACAGGCCAAAGGGAGCTGCCGTGCACTGCAACGTGTCTGGACAACGCAGAAATCAGCACCGTAGGGCATACCATGGAAAAAAACCCACCACGACAAGGGAGCCTCTCGTTTCTCTTCCTTCCTCGTAAGGAAATCGTCCTGTCTTGCCCTGCTTGTCCCCCCGCACTGTTGGACACCTCCCAAGCACCTGCAGGGAGTGTTTGAAAATACGTGGAAACCCCAGAAGCCCCCCAGAAAAGGTCCCTGCAGGTGTCCTTACTATCAGCACGTTAATGCACAGGGCTGGAGGAAGAGGCATCCCTTTGACGCTCCGAGATCTGCAGCTCAAGGCAAGCTGAAGAGCAGAGTTCTGCTCACGTGGACCTGAAACCCCTGCCCTTCCCACCCAGGGAAACATAAGAAAAACACATTTATGTCGCCGTTCCCTTCCTTTCACATTACCTCTCTGCTTCACAAAGAATTTTTTTTTTTTATTAAATCCGAAGTCACCTAGAGCAGACAACGCCAGGAATGGAGGATTTTATGTGGCACGGGAGAGGAGTTCCAGGCTCCAGCCACGAGGTCACCTTGGGACAGCAGGTCACCCAAGGCTGGGTGCACCCCCAAACCCCACAACCCTACGCCTGTACATACTTGTGCCTAAGTACAAGTGGGAGAGTTCCCACGGAGCCTGACTTTAGATTTTAAAATGAATGCTACGGAACACCAAATTTAATCTATAATGAAATAGCAGAGGGAAGCATTTGAATTTGAGTGGTATTTATTAAGAAAAGCATAAGTGGTGGCACTGCACAGCATGTTCCACACAGTATAAAGGTCCAACTGAGCCTTTCTCTACATCTGAGTTTATCAAGAAAGGGAAAAGAAAAAAAAAAAAAGGCAGCAAGAACACAAAAGCCTGTGTGAGCCTTATCAACAGCCTGGGGAGGATTCATCCCTGCAGCACTCTCTCTATGCTCTCTCTTCCTCAAACCTACTTTCACCTCCCTCACAGCACAAGAATCCCTTCTTAACATAATTAGCACTTTTAATATATGGATTGTTTCAAGCCAATTACAGCCGTCCATTATAGGCGGTTTCACGAAGCTGCACTTATAATTCCAGTAATTTACGCTTGGAAACAAAGATATATAAAGGGAAAAGGTTACTGGAGGTTCTCAAAATAATTAAGAGCTTTGGTTATTAGTGACGCTTTTGAAATACAACCTGAAGTCTAACAGTGGTGTCGGGAAAGTCTTTGCTGAGTATTTGCGTAGGCTAATGGAGCATATGTGAGCAGGGGGAGTAAAAGCCTCTCTCACTGCAGCCAGGGTTTCTGGCTGTTACCTTTGACCCGAGGTAAGAATGATGTTTTCAGCCCCCATTGCTCAAAAACTGTTTCCAAGAACACTTTTTGTCTTGACCACGGGCTCCGGCAGGCAATTATCTAATCCTCGTTTCTACAAGTATTTTCCACAAGTAGAAATAGGGGCTATTGTGTTCATTTATCTATTTACGAGTTGAAAAGGGGAAACGAAGGCCCCCGCTCGTCTGGAGCCCAGTGCGGGTGCTGTGCCCCCAGCACGGTGACCTAGAGAGCACCTCCACGAAGGTCCAGGAGTTCTGCTCGGCTCTGACCTGGAAGGAGGACCTCTGAGGACAAGTGTCAGCTCCCACTGATGGAGCGGTCGCAGCAAGGCAATTTGGACATCGGTCTCGCTGTGAGCAGCATCCACCCAGGTGCCAATTAACACCCCCGGTGACTGCAATGACGTGGACATCTGGCTGCTGAGAACAACACGCGCTGAGTCCCACTGCTGCTGTCTGGAGAGCTTTTCCTCTAGTTCAGACCTCGTTTCTTTTCAAAAGTCTTCCACCCCGGCACCCTACGGGCTTTGCCACGCTTGCCAGATCTTCTCCTGGACCTATCAGCCACCTGCGGCACAGTAAATCATGCTCCTCCCTTGGAAATCTCCCCTTCCCTTGCTGACGGTGCACGGGCTGATCCTTCTACTGCAGACCTCTGCCGTTCTACCCCAGCTAAAGATCTGCCGTCCCTCTCGCATCTCGTGGTTGTCTGCCAGTTCCCAGCTATGTGGTGAATACAGAACTTTTCATCTCTTTTGGCTGAGGGAACTGCGGTTGTTTAGCCTGGAGAAAAGGAGGCTGAGGGGAGACCTCATCGCGCTCTACAACCACCAGAAAGGAGGCTGTAGCGAGGTGGGGGTCGGTCTCTTCTCCCAAGTAACTGGCGATAGGACGAGAGGAAACGGCCTCAAGTTGCGCCAGGGGAGGTTTAGATTGGCCATGAGGAATAATTTCTTTACTGAAAGAGTGGTTAAACATTGGAACAGGCTGCCCAGGGCAGTGGTTGAGTCACCATCCCTGGAAGTATTTAAAAGGCGTGTAGATGAGGCGCTTAGGGACATGGTTTAGTGGGCATGGTGGTGTTGGGTTGACGGTTGGACTCGATGATCTTAGAGGTCTTTTCCAACCTTAATGATGCTACGATTCTGTGATCTCTCCCAGCTCATGCTCCAACCCCGATGTCTCCCTTTGCCAGCACTGGGAACGACACTGGCATCTCTGACCTAGACTTGGACTTTTCCCCAGAACCTTTTCTCAGCATAACATCTTCAGGAAGCAGCTACCCAACCCCAAGTCTCGCTCCGACGTTCGTATTTCAACCATTTGCACGTGGCTTTCCTTGACTATATCAAGAACAACCCTGCTCCACTCACACCGACCCTGAGGGCCGCTGTTGAAGACCCTTTTCTAGTCTGTTTTTGTGGAGGACCATGCCACCCTCTGCTTTGTGTTCCTCCCCTGCACGTGGAACAGGAGCTAGTGGTCTTCACTCCCCGCTCATCACTTCACTTCAGAGTCAAGAGGTCCCTTCTCGCTTCGGACTCCTCATGACAGCGCAGTCACATTCTCAGACAAAGTCTCTTCACGTTGTGCCTGAAAATTTTCACCTGTGACTTGAACAAACGTACACTAAGGGGCCCGACATGAAAAATTGCACAGCTCCGACTCGTTCCTGCACCAGAAAGCCTTCACCTCAGGCGGGGAAGCTCACCACGAAATATGAGGGGAAGGAGGGCATCCCACCAAAGGCTTCTGGGGTTTTTTTATCTTTTCGGGGGGGGCTCACGCCGTTTCACCAGGGTGGGTGAATTCAAACCCGGGACGACCAGGCTGGCTCTCCTCACAGATCCCCCGCCCCCGAGGACCTGAGGCCGAGGGCCCCGGCG